GGACAAAGGTCAGAACTCACGAAACCTACAAAGGTCGGGACAAAGGTCAGAACTCACGAAACCGACAAAGGTCGGGACAAAGGTCAGAACTCACAAAACCTATAAAGGTCGGGACAAAGGTCAGAACTCACAAAACCTACAAAGGTCGGGACAAAGGTCAGAACTCACGAAACCTACAAAGGTCGGGACAAAGGTCAGAACTCACGAAACCTACAAAGGTCGGGACAAAGGTCAGAACTCACGAAACCTACAAAGGTTGGGACAAAGGTCAGAACTCACGAAACCTACAAAGGTCGGGACAAAGGTCAGAAATCACGAACCTACAAAAGGTCCGGGACAAAGGTCAGAAACACGCGAAAGCCTACAAAGTCGGCAAGTCGAATCCGGCACACAAGGGGACAAGGTCAGAACTCACGCAAACCTACAAAGGTCGGGACAAAGGTCGGGGACATGACACCGGTCGTCATTGTCGTCACTATCTAGTATTCATCATAGACATCAGACTCATTTCACCGTTCATTATCTCAGCGTAGAGACATCGTAGGGACATGCGGTTTGTTTTATATTAACAAGGTAGGGACAGCTATCAATACGCAAGAATTCGTCAAAATAAAACGGGTGAAAGTTTATTAATTCGACTAATACTGCAACATGGTTTCAGCATTTCACCGTTGTACGCTCTCCTTCTTTATACGCTCTTGTTGGTATGTCTATAGTGTATAGGGTTAGGGTAAGATTTAGGATTTGGGGGGGTTATTTGATGAGTATATGCTCATGCTATGTTACTTAGCAGGTTATTTTATGTTGGTTAGCAGGTTATGATATGTTGGTTAACAGGTTATGATATGTTGGTTAACAGGTTATTTTATGTTGGTTAACAGGTTATTTTATGTTGGTTAACAGGTTATGATATGTTGGTTAACAGGTTATTTTATGTTGGTTAACAGGTTATGATATGTTGGTTAACAGGTTATGATATGTTGGTTAACAGGTTATGATATGTTGGTTAACAGGTTATGATATGTTGGTTAGCAACTTAGCAGGTTATGATATGTTACTTAGCAGGTTATGATATGTTGGTTAACAGGTTATTTTATGATATAATGGTGATATGATGGTTATGAGAGTATGTTATGTTGGTTCTACATGATGGTTCTCTGGTGCGCAATATTAAGCGATGGAAAAGAAAACGCCAGCAATTCCAGCACAAATGAACACTCACTTAAACATATTGCCACGCTTGCTCGGCTGGCTCTGCCACACACGCACGTAGCCCTCGTATCTCCGCTCCAGCGCCAGTCTGCCATCCGTCTTTGTCGGCTGTCAAATCAATGGAAACAGGTCACCAGGGTTTCTTATACATAGGAGGCACAGTGGCGCACCGCCGTTGTCAAATTTAACATCGCCGTTGTGAAAATATTCATGTATTTACTGATAAGTATATCCTGTATCTATATACCTATAAGTATTTCAATACATCCTGTATTTGAATCCATCCTGCGCGTTTTTATCCCAAACTGGCCATTACCTCCTTTGTCTAATTTTCCCTCAGAAGAAACCCCGTTCACGTATCGACAACGGTGGGTTGTGACTGTGAAGCGTGAGAACATATATTCGCGGAAACACACTGTCACACACACACACACGAAAAGGAATCGCTGCTCAGTTTCTCAGCACAAATTTTCAACCCCCTTCATGGAGAGCTTCTTGGTCAGGTAGCCATAACGGTTTATTCCCGGTTGGCCTACTCCCATTTCGCCTACAGCGAAATTCCAATTTCGTCTATAGCAAAACTCCCAGTTGGTCTACACCTATTTCGCCTACTCCCAATTCGTCTGTACACTAAAAATCCACCCCATTCCCATTTTGTCTACCATCAGTTTGTCCACTAAATAATCATTTATAAATGTAATATATGGTTTTGATTAGCATACATAGTCTAGACGGAGTGGCATCCACGCTGATTTTCCTGGTATTTGTTGTAAAACGTACCGACGCTGTCGGGGTGGGCGTCGCTACGTCGTTAAGCCGGTCCTCCAACCGGCTGTGTGGATGCAAAGCTTCCCGGCTGGCTTTCGGATGCAGTATCGACCAGACATTGCATCTGTAGCCAAATGCAAACGAAACTTAGGCTGAGAGGGTCTATGTCCCCCAGGGTACTGCCGGAACGTACCCTGGTACTATCTAATATATATATACCCTATACTATCTAATATGCCAGACCGTACCTCGCCTACTCCACTAACAAGTCTAGGGAGTCGCCTACGCCTACTCCCTAACCCTAACCCTAACCCTAACCCTAACCATATTTAACCCTAACCATATCAGATAGTTACCAGGGTACGGTATACCGGACCATACCCAGGGTACGTTCCGGCAGTACCCTGGGGGACATAGACCCTCTCAGCAACCCTAACCCTAACCCTAACCATATCAGATAGTTACCAGGGTACGGTATACCGGACCATACCCAGGGTACGTTCCGGCAGTACCCTGGCGGACAAAGACCCTATGAGCACTACTATACTAACCGGATTTCGCCCCTTTCCCACACACACCTTGACCTGTAAAGCTATTAAGCTACTAAGGTCATACTCACCTGGTTCTGTGACCTCTCCATGTTCGCTGAATCTCAATACTTGCACATATTTTAGCATCTTCTTCATCGTGGCACAACTTGATAAATCGCTAAAATAGAGAAAAAGAGAAAATCAGCAATTAACGGCAGAGCTCCGATTGGCAATGGAAGATGTGCTAGTAGAATGCCAAGCCATGCAATAACCCAGATAACATGCTTACGTTGGGCCAACGTTGGCATTTGGTTGGCACGGTCACGGTTGGCTGCATGCCGTTGGGCCAACATTGGCGTATGGTTGGCATGATGCTACTTGCAAATGGTTGGCTGCATGACGTTGGGCCAACGTTGGCCCAACGTTGGTGCGCTGAGCAAAAATCCGTTGGCCCAACGTTGGCATGAGCGGAAGACAGCCATTGGGCCAACGTTGGCCGAACGTCAGCATGTTATCTGAGAAATTTATGACGACACTGACAGTATATGTAAGCACTATATAGGCAATGGGGGGAGGGGAGGAGCAGCAGGAGAAGGAGGAGGTGAAGCAGGAGGAGAAGGAGGTGAAGCAGGAGGAGAAGGAGGTGAAGCAGGAGGAGGAGGAGGAGCAGCAGGAGAAGGAGGAGGTGAAGCAGGAGAAGGAGGAGGTGAAGCAGGAGAAGGAGGAGGTGAAGCAGGAGAAGGAGGAGGAGGTGAAGCAGGAGAAGGAGGAGGTGAAGCAGGAGGAGAAGGAGGTGAAGCAGGAGGAGGAGGAGGAGCAGCAGGAGAAGGAGGAGGAGGTGAAGCAGGAGCAAGAAGCAGCCCGGTATGAAAATTTAAATTCGAAATTTTGATTTTCTTGCACTGGCCCAGAGGGCTGGTAAAAGCAGATTTTTACCAGCCTTCACGATAATTTACCAGCCCTCACAAATTTTCTCAAAATTTGCTTAATCTCATTTAATTCAAAATTCTCGATTTCAAATTTGTAAAATGTTGATGAATTATGGCGTGATATCCTTCAGGTAAAACAGTAATGTAGGTATTTGCTCATTAATGCTATAAATAAAAATGTAGGTATTCGCTAACACGGCTGAAACCACCGGCTCGGAGGGCCGATGTTTTACCAATGTTATTGGCCCTCCAAATAATTTGCCGGCATATATGCCGGTGGGCCGGTGCTAATTTTGTGCCCTTAAGAAGGGTAGGAAGTAGAGAAGGAGAATGAGGATGGATGAGAAGGATGATGATGGATGAAGGAGGAATGAGGAGGAGTATGATGATGAGGAATAGAATTAAATGAAAGGAAGATGAAATTAATAAATAGGAGTAAAAACAGAGCATCTTATATTTTCTTGCTTCAAAATATATTTACCTGCCTATCTGCTTTCTTTAATGATATCAGGCTATACTGGTCCTTCTTGTCACCTGATAATTAATAAATGTCATTTGTACACTAATTGTGTAAAAGTATGAAGAAAGATAAACGGTTTTGTCTGCATAATTGTACGCATTTAGTAACTGATAATTTATATTGTGAAATGTTTACTGTTTATAGACACATTGTTTCTCTTTTAGATTGACTACTCTCTTTTGCCTATTAATAAAATGGCGATAACTTCCTGTGAATGCCGTTAAAATGCTCCTCTGCAACATACAAGTACACCGCACGCACGTCGCGTCGTTGCTGTGCACAAACAACAAGAATATATAGTCTAAAGAGAAACAGAGTATCTAGTAAGTCTAGAGTTGAGAGAGAGTCTAGAATAGAGTCTAGAGAGACCTGTTTTTTTTGCACAGCGGCGTGCGTGCGTGAGGTGTAAATTAATTGTGTGTTGCAGAGGAGCATTTGAACGACATTTACGGGAAATTATCGGCCATAATAATAGGAGAAAGGGAGTAGAGAAACATTAAGACTTTGGTAGTGAATACATTTCGTGTTTATTTACCATCATTTAATTTACAGTATTGAAACGCTCCAAGTGCCTGTGATTTTACTATTGTCAGTATTAATTGACACGTTCGAAGTGCCTGTGCATAGATATACCAGAACTGATACCGGTAGTGATAATGGTCAGTCTTCAGCCGGAAGCCGGTTCGGTTCAAGTTGTACATGACTGGTCCAAATAAGCTGTACATGCATAGCTTAAGTTAATACACAGACCCATTATCAAGATGTATCAAACTGTATACCCGGGTACTTATACGTTATACTTATAGCCGAATTATAGCCTATAGGGACCTAGAATGACACAAACTCACCTGGTAGCTTAACTTCGGTAAGTATTCGTCTGGCTAATGCAGCGTTCATACTTTATGCGTAGCTTCACACTATAACTTTTCACAAATCAATACACAACTGTCAACTGCACTACTTGCGCTGGTTAAAATTAATGTTACTGTTATTAGATTGCTGCTGGCGTTACAACATCAACGTTGGGTTACGTTGCTAGGGTAGAAGCTAGAAGAAGTCTGTTATGTTCACTAGTTCTGCCGGTCCCCACCAGGGGTAGAAATTATTGGCCTTTTGTTTGGGACCACCGTAGACGCAGCCGGCTGAAAGGGGTGGTAGGATATGTTTACTAGGCACTTCTAATTTTAACATATATTTTAAATTCAATTAGGGTCAGGGTCAGGGTTAGGGTTAGGGTTAGGGTTAGGGTTAGGGTTAGGGCACTTTTTAGGGTTTTTGCATCATTCTTTAATATATCGTAAAATATATGTTAAAATTAGAAGTGCCTAGTAAACATATCCTACCACCCCTTTCAGCCGGCTGCATGTTAGGCACACATATTCACTTCCTCCTGTTTGGTTTGAAAATATGACGTATATTATTAGATTAGTGATGGCTGCAAGTTCTATGAGAGTAAACTGTGATATATATTTTCACGAGCAATAGGCATACAGTACTAGCTGTTGTTGGAGCACGCTCGTAGTGGATCTATTCCCCCAGCAACTGCCACTGCGCACGGAAGAAAATACCGTCCTTTTCCAACGGCGACGGAAATAACTTTTTTGGG